TAAAAGTTACAAGCAAGTCCACAATATTCGGACCGAAAACGGTCTGGATATAGTTTGAGAATGGCGCCGGTTGGGAGACGGAACTTTTAAAAGTTGCAGGCAAGTCCAATATATTCAGACCGATAACGGTCTGGATATAGTTGCAAGTTTTAAAAGTTGCAGCTGGGTCCTCAATATTCGGACCGATCCCGGTCCGTATATATTTGCGATGCCTCTTCCCACCACAGTTACAGACCGTTGTCGGTTCGTATATATTTTATTATTTTATTATATTATTTTTTTGGGACCAATTTCGGTCCGCTTATTTCAATTTCTCAATAATTATTTATATTTCTTACTGAAATATCCGGACTGATTTCGGTCCGGATAGTATATATATACGAACCGATTATATGTCGGTCTGTATATTTGACTTATTCGTACTAGGTTTTTTCAGATCAACTATAAGGACCAATATCGGTCCGTATATATATATATATATATTCAGACCGATTTCCTATATATTCGGACTGATATTTCGGTTCGAAAATCCCATTCCTACAGTAGTGACAGTGTCCTCATTTTGCACTTTGTTGACCACATTTCGCAAGCAAACCATGCCAGTCTTCAAAACACTAAGAGCATCCCTTCATGTCCCCAACTCAATATATGATTTCTGAAGTGGAAGTGTAAACATTTCCGCATATCTCCTGCACCATCCTCAAAAAGTAGATCTATCTTCATGCCAGTCTCGTTATCAATACGAGACAACCAACCAACCATACCCCGTAATAGCATTGAACATGAATAGTTCTACTGTGAGTTATGGATTAAAATTGGTTAAAGTTTCACATGCAATAAGGCTTGGAAAGAAAAGTGGAAATCCAGAAGTCAAGGCCAACACAGAACAACTCAGTGCAAGTGCTGCAATGATGTTTGAAGTATCACTGTGCATGCCAATGAAAGATTCACTCATCAGATGAATTCTGATTATTTTAGGCAAAGGAACTGGCTCAACCAGTATGCTTTTCTCAAAATCTCCATCATTGCCGACGTTGTCCCACTTAGATGTACTCGAGATTTTGAGTACCTCTACTATGGCCCGGAGAACTTTTGCTCTTGGGGCCAAAAACCACCTTTGGAAGCAAAATTCTTTACCATATATGTCAATATTTTCTAGTGGTACCACAAAAGAACAAAGACTGCTTTGTGCCACTAGAAGCACTTCAATGTAACCAGGCTCATTAGTAATACCTGCAGCACCATGGTTAGCTTCATCTATATTATCTTTGAAAAGATATTCTTCCAACTCCAGATTATCTACAAAGTTGGACTGTTGATTTGTTAAGAGAAAAAGCCTTACTTTCCTTTCAGAATGATAAAACAGAACTAAAGATTTTAACCAGGAATAACAGGAATCAGATTTAACCTTGTTCATTAATTGCTCAAAAATAGAAGTTGCAATGAGCTATGCTCCCTCAGTTGCAGCATATATTCCAGCCTTGTAAGCAGGCTAGTAAACTCAACATCTTGGCATGCTTATGGATAACAAATTGATGCTCAAGTAACTGGGATGGGAAAAGAAAGAGCTGGGATTCCTTCAACACTGAAAGTTTCCATGTTCTCTTTACTGTGGAATAAGAAACAATATGAGCATTGACCAGTGAAATGTAGGTTGTATGTATGTAGAAAACCCATGTTGATGCAGATGATCAACAAGGAACTTTACTTTGTTAGATATATTGACAGTAATCGAAGCTACATCATTTAGATTTTGAAGGCAAGCCACCACAAATCTGTTTATATAATATAAAATCTAGGAAATTACTTTGCGTTTTTCTCCTTCAAACTCCACAATCTCATCCTTACCTCTGCCCAGTAGCCGCCTCATTGGTTTGCAGATCCAAAGTGTAATCAATAATGAAACAATTTTGTCCAGCACCAAGACTACTAAATCTGGATTTTTTCCAACTATCTTAAGAAGAAGCCTGAGCGGTACTTTGACTTCTTGAAAAACTGTTGAGTTGATCTTGCAAAGACCATGAAATGGTTTCACCACTGAGATGATCCGCTCCATAATTAATGAGATGACCTTTGATGGCTGAGGTGAGAAAGAACCATCAATGTATCCTGTTTCTGTACTTTCCCAAAGCTTGGATGGCTATTTGAAATGATTGTAGACTGGGAAACAATTTCAACAATGGCTAAAAGGTGAGTGATATCAAGCATGTTGAGAGAAGGGACATCATGCAGCCTGTTTGGGCAGCTTCGCAATTCAACACTGTTGAAGTCCTTAGCTGCTTCTACACCTGTAAATCCCAAGGATGTTTCTTCGGGGAAAACACTCCGACGCTCAAGTCAGCAATACTCAATATTTTAGAGAGAGATGCTCTCAAGGAGTAATTGCAAAGAGAGAAGCGTAGAGATTAATTACCTCCATTGTTGGTAGTTGGGGGGTATTTATACCCCTAAATGCTGACATGCACCAACACATGTAAGTAACCCATTGGCCCACGTGGTGCTACTCACGTGGGTATGTCTCTTCCTCTTGGACCTGTGTGTGCGTAGTTGGGCCTGTTATATGTGGCCCGAAGTGGGCATTGGGCCTAATCCCAACATTACTCCCCCCTCAGCGTTCGGTTGATAAACTGGATGGAGAGGCTTGTTAGCACGGTGTTTGGCCCTAAAGATGAGGAGTGATGTTTTGTGTTCATGGACGACCTCACGTATGGCCAACCTGAGCGACTTGAAGACATCGTGCCTGGCCGGATGTGCAAATGTATGCTGGCCTTCTGCCGAGCAAGCACGAGGAGTTGGTGTTAAAGCCAGTTGAGCTCGATGCTAATCAGAGGGTCGAGCAGGCGCGCAAGGGTGACCTTGCATAATGAATTCTCTGCCGCAGAGCGGAGGTGAGCAGATGGTGAAAGAGTTGAACGACCCGAAACTAGACGAGCCGAGATAAGCGACCTCCCTTATCACTTCAATATAGATCTCTGGGATACAGAGCAACTCTGAGGAAGTTGGTTACAATCTAACGTTTAATGTCCGAGACTGAAGTGAATTCCTGATTTGCGCGACTTGATCTCTAGAATTTTTTTTTTTTTTAAATTTGGGATCTCTTCAGAGATCTCTGATTAGCAACGAACTGATTTCTCGAGATTTTCAAATTTTGAATTATTGCTGATTTATTAAGAGATCGCGAATTTGTTACGAGCTGACTTCTCAAGATTTTCAAAATTTTGAATTATTGCTGATCTGTGAGGAGATCGCAGATTTGTGATGAGCTGACTTCTCGAGATTTTCAAAATTTTGAATGTGGCGAATCTCTGAGGAGACTTACTTAGGTCTCAAATTTGTTACGAGCTGATCATTGAAGTTTGTGGCGATCTGATCTTTCAGATTTTTCAACAACTGTGGCGAATCTTTGAGGAGATTTGCTAAGGGCGTTTGGTATTCTTCTGCTTTTAACAGCTCTGAGGAGACTTGCTTAGGTCTCGAATTTGTTACGAGCTGATCATTGAAGTTTGTGGCAATCTGATCTTTCAGATTTTTCAACAACTGTGGTGAATCTCTGAGGAGATTTGCTCAGGGTGTTTGGTATTCTTCTGCTTTTAACAGATACCCTTTTGCCTCCCCACAATAAATGCTAGCTCAGCATTTGAGGGGACGTGACAGCTGCAGACGGCGCATTTTGGGTTTTTAACCATAAATGGTTGCCATGTGGACACGCTTAACTGGGGGGTTGTAAACATGCGTACGGTGTTTACAGAGCACCATCTAAATGGCCAAAACAAAAAAACACTTTGTCATTTTTTCATTTCATTGCACAACACCTTCGTACGTTTTTCAGAGAAGATTGCAGAGACACTTTCGGCCCTTTTTCAAAACTTCCAGCGAAAGAACAACCAGCTTCAACAACTCAAGTAAAATGGCTTCTTTTCACAATGCATGAGGGTTCCGGGGTAACCAAGGTGAAGATGAAGATGTTGATGTGATATCTATGGAACCTATCACCATGATAGTGCCGCCGAAGTTGCAGGATTCGCCCATAACCGCCGCGCCTGAGAGTGACGTCGGTTCAAGCGCAGATGGTGGTTCTAAGGGTCATCAGCCTTCAACCTCCAGTGATTCGCCCACGGAGGAGACACCTAGTGGGGTGGAGGGTGTTGACGAGGTTGGTTGCAGTGCATCGGTGACGAGTGCAGCAGCGGAGGTGGTGGTATTCGAAGGGTGGGAAAGCAAGGTTCTCAGTGGAAGGCTGGATAACCTTCGTAAGGCCCCCAAAACCCTACCGACCGGCTTCAAGTTCAGGGCGGCACTGCATCATGAGGTTGCAGATGGTGCGGCCATGGTGAAGGGGTACAAGAAGTTGGAGGAGATGGTGAGGTGATTCCAGATCCCCAGAACCATCCTGATTTGGGCTGGGACACCAAATGAACGGGTGTGTTCAGTGTCGCGGACGGGCTGGGTGCCAGTATACGTAGACCATTTTGACACCGGTCTATGTTTTCCTCTGCCCGGACTAATTTTTGACGTCCTGGGAGAGTACGAGCTGGCCCTTTCGCAGCTTACTCCCAACAACATAAAGTTTATCATAAGCTTTATACTGTTGTGCGAAAGGCTGGGGATGCCTGCTAAGGTAGTGGTCTTCAGGTCGCTCTTCCTGTGTCGCTTGTGCTCGTCCACCAGTGGAATGAGATGGTACTACATCTTGAGGAGAGAGAAGATGATGATATTCGATAAGGAACAAGGTGGCGAGGTGGAAGAGACAGTTTGTCTTCATTTGGGACACACGAAATGAACGAATCAGTAACGAGCTCACCGCTCGTCTGTCAGAGTGGCGCACGCCCAACACCTACATGAACTACCCACAGCTGACAGTTGGTGACGTCGACCTGAAGAACCGACTACTAGATTATGTGAAGGCGAGGGGGTTGGTGGATTTAGAAGCCTTGGTTACCCCGGAGCATATCGCACTTCATGGGTTTGTTGACGTGGTAAACTTACACTCTCAAGGTATATTTTTATAGAGTAGTATAGTTTCTAGTTGATCTGAGTCTTATGCTTTTGTTTGTGTAGGAGACATGAGCAGCATCCTTGAGAGGCAATGATAGCGAGCACAAGGCTCGAGGGGCCGGGGATCTAGGTCCGGTTCCCAGCGTCAGTCCTGCTTTGATGAGTAGCCACCTGCTGCACCGGGGCGTAGCTCACAGCACCGGAGTTCCAGCTCGACACAGAGGCCGCGTGCCGAGCAGAGGACTGAGCCTGCGCCTGCGCCCTCAAGCTCAAGAAGG